ACCCCAGGAGTGGGTCATGGAGCCAGAGCTCGGCCACATCTGTATGACTTGGAAGGAAAGAAGAAAGGACAGCTGGGTTGAGCGGTGTTCAAGGCTCCTTCCTCTCCAGGACTGGAAGAATAACAGGTGTGGTGAGAGCATCTCATTTACGGGAAAGAAGCTGCCTGCCTGCATCCCATCTGATGTAAGGACTGAACTGTCAGGAGTCCGGGGCTTCTCTCAGGATTAACTGCTGTCTGCAGGAGGAAGGATGATCAACCTTCAGTATTTAGGGTGACGGTGGGGACCCTCTCAGGTCCACTTGCTGTTACCTGGCTGTTTTTGAGAGTTAACATCAGTCTGAATAAATTGACGTAAGTGAGCTAAGGAAGACGGGTCCTGGGTCAGATTAGTCATTCCAGTACTGCATCTTTCTTACTAATGTTCGTTAGCTTCAGAAGGAGTTATCCATAGTAATCTTTCCACCATCACCTCTGTATTAACTAGAAAATACACAGCTGATGGACAGGCAATGACTATATTATAAAATACTCTCTGGCGACTTGTGACCTATAATGGAGGGATTTCACTTGTGCCTCTCACTCCATGTTTTTATGATGGAGGTGGTAGCAGAGCATGGCCTTTGTGATGCCTCTCCAGTGATTGCTTTCTAAGTGCTTGTCATTAGCACATGGAAAATTCCAAGAGGCAAACCCCAGCAACGCAAATGTCTGCACAGGAATGTTGCAGGGAGAGAACGCTGTTGCCAAGGCTTCCCGTAATCAGCATCTGACTTTTCTTTTGAACACCATGAAATCATCCCCTTTGTGATTTAATTTCTGAACAGCTCCTGTGGGTACAGAAATATACAGTAGTCATAATCCCAAGTGTACCGAGGAAATCGACTCTCCAGGACCAGGTGATGCCTCAATGAAGAACTGCGTATGAGAGAGAATTTTCTGGAAAGGGGTGAAAGAATCCGTTCTATAAGGGCAAAGTCCATGTGAGGCCTGCCTTCCTTCGCCTCTGAAATGCTCAGCAACCAGGACTTAAAATGATACACAAATGCTTTGTCTGTGAAATAGTGTCCATTAGGACTATCTGGTGCCCACCCCCTCCACTTTACTCTGGGGAGGGCAATGAACTTATTTATTTATTTATTTATTTATTTATTTATTTAGGATTTTATACATGCGTACAATCTATTTTCATCGTATTCCTCCCTCACTCCTTAAACTCCACCCATGTCTCCCAACATCCCCTTCTAAAGCTTGTGTTTTCACATATACTCCTGAGTCCAGTTAGTGTTACTCATGTGTACGTGGGTGTATGACTGGCTATGGACATGGGCAACTGATTCCCCCTGAGGTTTGGCATGCTCTCATCCCTTGATGGATGCTAAGCCATGACTAAGAGGGTTTTGTAATTCTTCATTTGTCATTAGCTTTTTATACTGATAAGCTGGTCCCGCCCACCTGACACCAGATGAGTCTTCTTGGCTTCCTCCCGGGATTCCTTTCTAAAACCAGAAAGGCTGTGGCTGTAGTTGGGTCCCTGATGCACACTGCAGGTCAGAGCTACTTGGCACACAGCAAGATCTTATCTAGCATTCCAGCTCTTGGGGAAATTGAAGAAAGCCTACAGGCGAGAAGTAGGAGGCTAGAGCCAGAGCTGGAGTTCTCTGAGGAAGAGAAAGATGCCTGCCAGGTCCCTCCAGTGTGAGGACTGCAGACCAACAGACAACGGCCAGATCATACACCAAGACAGAACTTGGACACAGTTTACATCCATCAGCCCAGACAGCCAAATTGTGCCGCTAAGACTGCCTTTAGCATCAAGGATTAGGGTGGCCCCGGGCAGCAGTGAGTCCTGCTCAGCAGATGGTCATTTCTATTAGCAGAACTGGAGCCAGCTATAAACACGAAAAAGTATTCTCTCAGGAAGGATTTTTGGAAGGGGCAGGGGTAATAGTGTGCAGGACTTCTGCAAGCCCGACCATGGTCTGCCTTTGATGCATCCCTATTGCTGAACCTCAAAGAAGTTACCTTTAAATTAAAACGCATACAAAGGAGCTTCATCATATGTCTACCAGGGTCAGTAAGAAAATGTGAAAACTCTAATTGTTGACCGTGTGATCTGGTAAATGTTATTTACCGGCCGTGAAAATGGACCACGAGATACTTGGAGGGGGGGAGGGTTGGGAACCAAAACAGCCCGCCCACACAGCTGCCATGACAGGCTTAGAGGCCCAGACACAGCTTCTGGCAGGCAACACCTGGACCCCAAAAAAGCCATAGCTGACTTCACTCAGTGGTGCCTGCATCTAAGAGGAAATACCTGACATTCCAAACATTCCTTGTACCCCTAGACAAATGTTAGCCAATCAGGGACCTGAACCCTAAAAATCCCCACACCCCAACCTTTGCCATCATTAAAAAAAAAAAAAAAAAAAACACCCTGCCTGGGCTCTGGGCTCTCTGCACTCACTGCTGGGTGGGACGGAGTCCAAGTTCTGAGCTTGAAAATCAAAGGCTCTTTGCTTTTACATATGGGATTCGGTCTCCGTGGTGGTCTTTTGGGGGTACCCCTGATCTGGGCATAACAATACAATGAAACCCACTTTAAGAGTTTATTAGGGGGATAGGAAAGAAGGGAGAATGGGAGGGCCTGCTGAAGGAAATGTGGCAGAAAGAGGGGAAGAAACAGGTGGAGTCCACGGTTAAAGGTGACCTCAAGGGAAGCGTATAGAGGCTTATGTAGCCACGTCATAAATGCACATAGATTATGTGGGACTTATGACCCTGGGGTGACTAGACATTTTGCTCACAGCGCATGTGCAGCCATGGAACTCCAGAAGCAGCTAGGTGGGTGTTGGGAATGCTAACTGTAGATGAGTTAGTGACTAAAGAGAATCTAAGAGAAGGAAACCAAGGAACAATTTTGGTAAAGGAGCCAGAGGACCAGGAAGTCTGCTGTGAGATGGTCATTGACAGGGAAGCCACACCCATGAAATCTCAACAACATGGCTGCCTAAAGAAGACCTGGATAATCCCAGCAACAGCTGACATCCCAGTGCAGATGGGGGAAATCTCAAAGTTCCCCCCATCACTAGATGCAGAGCTGTGAGCAATTAACAACTACTGAGAGAGGGAAAATTAGTCTCCTCCAGGGATGAGCCTCCTGATTGGGGATCCAATACGGAGCGGTCATCCCTAGAAACATCCCCAGGCAGATAACACTGCAAAGACTCAGCAGGCTGTATTTGTATGTTGATGTGTTTATATGCATTGGGAGAGATGATGCAGAAATGATGTTTTATTTTAATTAATTTTTTAAAAAGTTTTGTCTTATGGAGAAATAGGAGAAACAACTATAGGACTCAAGTAGCTCTCCAAGTTGCTGAGCTGACCTGGATAGAAACAAGCTTTTCTCCCAAAGGAGAGCCTCATTTCCTGCTTATTTATTCTCTCTGCCTCTGTTGTGCCCACTTCCACATACAGGTTTCAACAAACTATGCTCACAGAGGAAGGCAGGACCACCCTGAGTTGTGTGTCTCTGAGCTTTTCTGGTCACGGTCCTATCTCCATCATCTCTGCAGGCTCTGGTCCGTGAGGAACAGTTGGAAGCCCCAGGCAAAGCACACAGCATCATCCCCAGCCTCCGTGTCCTCCCATTCTCCCTGCTGTGCCAGGTGTGGGGCTTCTCGGGTATAGTGTTTCAGAAGTCCACTGAAGAGGTAAAAAAAAATGTTCTTCTGGTTATTTCTTGAAACTGGGATGTTTGTTGTGGTCCTTAAGACCAGCAAGATGCAATGGGGGTCAGGGAGGCGGGGAGATACTGTCTCTGCAGCCATGGAGACCAGAATCTGTGCTTCTGGACTCAAGCCTTTCGTCTCTCTACTCTCTGCACACTTCCTGTTAGGGAATGTTAGCTTTCAGACCCGACCCTTGGGGACCCGCCCAATGTCCTGATCACGTAAGGTGACGTAAAGTCCCCTTTAAAAAAAAAGAAAAAACCTCCCCCTTCTCTCTCTTCCTTCCTCTCTCTCTCCTTCCTTGAGGTTGTGTGCACCTCCACTTTTTTCCCTCTCTTTCTCTCTCTCTTTCCCTCTTTTTCTCTCTCTCCCCTCCCCCTTTAATAATAAAACTTTCCACGTGGATGTGGTGTCTGCGTGGCATAACTTTCCACCATGCCACGCCTTATGCCATGCCACCTGCAAAGCAGTTTTACAACACTCTCACTCTCTGTTGCTCTGGATTCTTGGGAGTTGGTGTGAGCATGTTGATGAGATCACATGTGGTACTTTATGCATGTCATGAGTACTGTGGGCCATGCCTGACTATGAGGAACACTTTGATGCCCTCACTTCATAGCTAAGGGAGTCCACTCTCTTCCTTGAGTCATCCTGAAGAGGAGCCTGGCGTGGTTGATTTGCTGAATGGTAAGCTGATAAAATTTCCCCATATTTGAAACAGTAACTTTTCTCAACTGAAAAAAAAAAGAAATCATAATTTGGGGCTCTTGCCACACTTTATTTCCTTAAATGTCTTTCTACATTGATGCAGGGGAAAAAACCAAACAAACAAACAAACAAAAAAAAACCCAAAGCTATTAGGTATCAATGGCTCTATAACTGGATGGAAATTTTGTAAGAAAATTCTATTATGTTCTGGAGAAAGAGAGCACCATGAGGACAACAGTGATTTTATCTTTTTTGTACTGCTGCCTTCTCATGGTTTATTTTCAATTTTTTAAGTTGTGTAGATGAACGGTCTTATTAAATCAGAAACACAGAGCCAATTGCATAGTTAAAAGCCCAAGAGGTCAGAGCAGTAGCTGAGAGCTGAGCTTACCCTTCACTGCCGCTGCTGTCCTTTCCCTCGGCAAGTGCGCTACTTCCCGTGTATCTGTCTTTTTATAGACTTTCTGTTCTGTCTTCTCATTGGTTGTAAACCCAACCACATGACCTCCTCGTCACTGCCCATCTATACAGACCTCCAGGTCTTCTATGGTTGGTATTGAGATTAAAGGCGTGTGTCTCCATGCTGGTGGTATCCTTGAACACACAGAGATCTGTCTGTCATGTGATCGGGATTAAGAGCGTGTGCTACCGCTGCCAGACTTCTGCTATGGCTTGCTAATAGCTCTGACCCCCAGGCAACTTTATTAACATACAAATAAAATCACATTTCAGTACAAATAAAATATCACCCCACCATAAAGCTGGGCTTATTATTCAGTGTACCACTTGCGTGCCTGGTGACCTTAGGGCTCCCAAAGAAAGCATCAGATCCCCTGGAACTGGAGTTACCAGTGGTTTTGAGCTGCTGTGTGGGCACTGGGAATCCAACTCAGGTCCTCTGGAAGAGCAGCTGGTGCTCTTCACCACCAAGCCATCTCTCCACTTCCCTTCTCACAGTTTAAAGCCATGATTGGCACACACTGGACATCAAATCCCATTGAATGAGTGAGGTGGCAGACACAAAGTCACCTTCTCTCATCTTTACAGACTAGAGCTAAAAGAAGCTTGCCAAGTCTACTGTTCTTTATCAGATTAATTTATGCAAATGTATTAATGCCTGGTATTTGTCAGATGAATGCCCATAGAGAATTCTGGGAAGTAGCAATAAATGTTACGGTGTAGTCAGAAGATTTCCTGTGTCCCAGACTGCCGGCAGTCGGGACAAATCTCTCCCACTCTCGTGTCCCCCGCCCCCATAAACACACAGAGGCTTATGTTAATTATAACTGCACGGCCATGGCTCAAGCTTTTTGCTAGCTAGCCCTATATCTTAAATTAGCCCACAACTATTAATCTATGTATCGCCACATGTTCTGTGACTTTACCTGTGTCCCATTGCATGTTGTTTTTAACTACGTGGAGTTAGTTGCCTTAATAAATCCTCCAATATTACAGAGAATAAATGTTACCTTTATTTCCTGCTAGATAACTGGCTGGAGGAAGAGAAGAGGAGTCTCCAGGAAATAATTTCCGTTCTTCTAGGCTTTGTTTTAAGTGTATTTAAGGAAAATGCTCGTCAGCATTAACTAGATTACTGTAGCCTATTTGAAAGTTGAAAAACATCCAAGAAGTAGAACGTGAGGAAAATCTGGCCTCTCTGATAGTTTAGTGAGTGTGTGGCAGATGTGTCTGTAATTCAGCATAATTACTCTTCCCTCAGAGCCTGTGATAATCCTCTAGCTGTTCCTCACCACATTAGGCTCAGTCTTGGAGTTTCTATCAGTCCCATATGAGGAGCCAATTTTGCCGTTTTGAAAGAAAGCGGGATGGTATCCACCCAGATGTGCAGAAAGACACGGGCAGTTCGCGGGATCACTGTCCCTTGTCCCTAACTTGGTGTGTTATGTGATGTTAGCCATGAACAAAGTCCACAGAAGCCCGGCACTCCCAGCTGTGGGTGCCTGTACATGTTTATCTCATTTTTAAAACTTACCTATCAATATAAGTCCAGATATCTGGCATTCTTTTGTTCTTTTTCTTTTTTCCTACAGTGTTCAGTGACTCCCTTAAAGGAGTCTGAATCATAGACCTTGACATGGACAATGTAACTGGCAGTAAGTTTATTAGCATTCTTCATTTGTGATTTTAGAAAATGGTTTACTTAGAAAAAAATTCTTTTGGGCCAAAGAGATGGCTCATGGGTGAAGAAGACGCTTGCTGCCAAGCCTGAGAACCCAAGTTCAATCCCCAGGACACATGTATTAGAAGAATATTAATTCCAGCAAGTTGTCCTCTGACTTTTATGCATGCACCGTGACATGCATGCAGTCACACACATATAAACATAAACACACAAATTAACAACTAAGAAGTAAACTCTCCTGAGCAAACCAGAAATCCCATAGTTAGGGAGAACTCTATCTTATGATTTAGTATTGACCTTTATTTTCAGTTCATATCTGCCAATTTCATCCATGTTTCTTTAGTAAAATTTTTGCATATTTTATGAAATTTCACTTTCTTAAACTTTAAATCCCTACCATGAATGGAAAGAATTGATCAAATAGTTATCATTCACAAGCTCACCATATGAAGGCACTATTCTAGTCCATAAGTGATTTCTATAGTGTAGTTCCTAATAACTTTTCAAAGCAGATCTTGAGAGTCTATTTAGAATATCTGCCTCTGTCTGTCCTGTGTGTCTTTCTCCCTCCGGCTTATTTTGCTGCTTGTGAGAACCCTTGGGTAGGACTGTAGAAAATGCTAGCAAAGAAACAAGCTGACCAAAGAAAAGCATCTTTCAGGTGAGGCTCCTGAGAATCCATTGTCTGAAAATGTTGGGTTGTCAATTTGCTGAGAGGTGCAGAAAACCTGTGCTACGTTGGTCTGCACAAGAGAGTCGCTATTTACACAGCAAGACACCCACGGGAGGATGAGTTGGGCTCTCTTTTGATTCTTCTCTGATCCCCTTGCCCTGCCACACTTTGAACATGGCTTTCTCCTTAGGCTGGAATGAATGAAAAGTTGCAGAAATTACTTTTGTGCATGAGCATGTCTTCAAAGAAAGTATGGGTCTTCTCTGGTGCTAAAGAATGATGCTCCTTTACGTTGGAGTAGACATCAGGTCCATCAGGGGAGAGTGGTCTGGATGGTATCAGAAGAGAATGCCTAAACCAGTGAATAGCAAGTGGGATAGGATGGCCATGGTGGCTTGGTGACCCCTGTAGCTTCTGGAGGAAGTAAATTATCAAGATAAATATTGTGATGACCACAACAATGGCTTCAAAGCGGGTGACCCAAAACTTCCTCTGTGACCCTGAAGAATAGTCAAGGGGAGACTTTTGAACGGTAAAAATGCCAAACTAGGTTCTTAGCTTGTTCCAAGCGGGTGAGTATGGACCCAAAGGGCAGAAAGTGGTAGTCTCTCAAACATCTGGAGTATAGAGGAAATAAAACACAGACATTACAGGACTGAAATGGGCTTTATTTGGGGGCGTGCTACCTGGGAGGAAATTGTAACTCACGCTGGGCTGCAACCGATCCATTTCATAGTTACCATCCAGGACACAGGCACATAGGAAGCTTTTGGTTCTCAGGAGACAGCAGTGAGATCAGTGAGAGAAGAGGAGAAGAGCTCACCTGGGAGGAAGTGGTACACACATCTGTAACTCCGGAAGCTGGGAGGCAGAGGAAAGAGGGCCATGAGATTGAGGCCATTCTCAACTACACAGCACCACAAAGCAAACCCTTGTTTCTGTTAAAGAAAAAAAAAAAAGTGAATTAACCTGTGTGTTCCATCTCCATCCCCACTATTTATACCTGCTCTCGGTGAGCCTTATTAATTATCCTGTTCTGGGTATGAAGGCAGATTATTTAAAAGATGGTTGATAATTTTAAAATGGCTATCTAGATGAGCCTGGCTTGTAGTTAAGGTGAAATCTCCTGAAAAGTTAGGCCAAAGAAAGAAACGGCCTGGTCATAAGCTAAACGTCTGAAGATTTTAGTGATGGCAAGTTATAAGAATTAGTTTCAGGCCCTCTCCTCTGAGTTGCCATTAGGGTAAACAATTTTCCCTCTAAGGTGGGGGAAAATCTGACCTCTCGTATTATATCCCTATACTTTTGGATTTTTTTTAAAAAAAAAAATGGTTTCTTAAATTTAATTATTGGCAACTTCATTCATGTATGCAATGTACCATAAATACATTCATTCTGTTGCCATCTCTTCCCCCTCCCACTATAGGGCCTTTTCTGCTTCCCAGTGAATGCCCCTCCCACTTGAATGTCTCATTTTTTATGCAGATCTTGTTCATGTAGCAATAGCTGCTGTGTATCCATGAGCATGTGAGCTATATCATATCTAGAGGGAAGTGTATTGTAGGACGCTCTCCATTCTTCACCTCTTAAATATTGCTTTCCGCATTTCCCATCATGTTCCCTGGATCTTGGAGGGGGCAATATAGATGTCCTGATTAGGGCTGAGCACTCAATAGTCATCCATTCTTAGCATTTTTGACTAGTGATGGGTCTCTGTGTTAACTATTGCCCACTGCAAAAAGAGCAGATTTTAATAGCACTGGTCTACAGGTACACATAAAACATTTAGAAGGCAGTTAGGCTACATATCTATTTAGCTTAATATCAGCAGGAAAGTTACTCTGTAGGGCCTGTGACGTCCTACCCATGAGCTTTTACCCAGGTTTGCAGTACCAGGTAGGTATTTCCTCCCATGAAGCAGGCCTCATGGGAGGAGCAGGAAATCCCATAAGGATGTGTTTGGTTACCCCGGAAACAGTCGTACCACTTGTGCACCAGTGGGAGCATCTTGCCTAGAAGTAACCCGAGTACCACAGTACTCAGGGTCCACAGCCGGGTAAGACCATTGGCGCCTTTTCTAGTCCATCAGCCTGCAGGGCGGATGTTCCCATCTTAGTCGGGGCTTGGTTTATCTGTGTGCGGTATTCCATGTGTGTGGTCTTTGGTAATTGGGTCTTACCATCTCAGTCGGGTGGGTGATTATGTCCCCATACTTTCAGTATGTGTGTGTGGCTGGCATATACATTTATCCTAACTTTTATTTTTGAGACTTTGAACTTTGTTAAGTGTGAGAAAACATCAAAATGGAGTCTTCTTAACCTAAAATAATTTTTAATATTCCTGTCAACAAATTTGTTTTTGGTTTTGTTTTGTTTTGTTTTTGGTTTTGGTTTTTGTTCCCAGAGTGAAGGTACTGTAAAGGCTTTGGTGAAATTCAGTTGAATAAGTCCAAATATGGAAAATTAGTACTTTCTGAGGTAGTCTTTTATTATTCCACCCTCTCCTCCTAAACAAAAGGAACTCAGCCAAGTTACAAAACAGCTCAAGAAGAAGCAATTTTTTTTCCTTCTGCATCTGGCAAAATCTTACTAATTTCTTTCTTTTGGGTCAGGAGACTTGCCAGCACGAAACAGTCACATTTGCACTGTGTAACTAATGTCCCTTGGCAGTCTTTAAGTCTGGCGCAGGGAGCATGTGAGTTACAGATACTGAAGGGAGCCATTGGGTGAA